GGGAAAGATGCTCTCCCCATCTCTCACTACCTAGTCAGCTCTGATTCTACAGCTTTTGCCATCCTCTTCTATGACAGGGACCCAGGGGTAAGGAAGGCCTGCTCAGCCCTGCAGAGACGTAACCTGCAAAGCACTGGCTAAGAGCACGGGCACATCCTAAAGGAGGAAGTAGTAGAACTTAAAACTCCTCTAGATGGATATCAGGATCAGGAATACTATGGCAGGAAAAGCACTCGTAGCAACTGAATATCTTTAACCTACACAAAACACATGTAGGAAATCTTTGCACAGGAGTGCAGTGCAGGACACCTGCCAGACAGCAAAATGCAGTGGTGGGTCATGCAGTGTCTGGGCAGTTCCCCATGCCACCCCTGACAGCAGCTGCTGGCACAGCTGTCTGGGAGAAGGCAGACCAGTCCCGCACCTTGGGCACTCCAGCAGCTGCAATTTGCCAATTATTTTTTAGTAACCTCGTGCTGTCATCAGTTCCCAGTCTCAGAAGAAAACTCACCCGACGTAACACTGAGAGACAGCTCTCTTGTCCTCACAGATCCCCCTCCTCCTTCCTGGGCCCCATTTCAGGGCCTCAGTATGTGTACATCACCAGGACAACTGGTGAGCCTTGACCCAGCTGTCCATGCTGCCACCGTTGTCTGGAAAGCGTCCAGAGGCTCCAGAGGGGCAGAGGGGACCTGCCACCATGCAGGGGCCACAGCCTGGATTGGAGGCACCTTCCCAGCTCTGAGAGGTTGTGGAGCCACTGTATTTCCAAAGATACAGTGCGGGGATACAGTTGGAGATGCCTCCTGTAGTGTTGATGCCTGTGGCACAGGCTCCAGAGGAGGAATAGGATTTGGTAGAGGAAGCTCAGGTGGAACTGGGGAATACGGAGGATTTTCCAGATGGGGAGCACCCAGATCTCCTGGGTCTGGAGGGAAGAAGGAGCCTGGAGGGGAGAAGTGGCAGAAGCTGGGGGGGGGTCTCAGCTTGGGCTGGTGATGCCCAGTGGGTGGGCAGGGATGCGGGCAGCCAGCAGGCAGGCTAGCACAATGCCAATGAGCTGCAGCAGTGCCAGCCCCAGGGCAGCAGTGGCAACATAGAACATGTTGCTGCTGACGAAGGCTGAGACCTTGCTGAAGCAGCCATCACGGTGCAGCCCGCGGGTGTTGGGCAGCCTGTGCTGGCAACCACGGCGGGCTCGACAGCAGCTGAGCGGCACAGAGCCGTTTTGTTCCACCACCCAGGGGGAGGTGAGCCAGTCGCGGTAGCTCTCCACGCCGCAGCAGGCCAAAGTGCGCTGCAAAGCATCCAGCGCGTCTGCCTGCCCCTCATCTTCACCGTAGGCGTGCAGGGCCTCACGTAGCCCTTCCTGGAAACCCTGCGCAATGTCCTGGCGGTAGAAGAGTCCTGAGAGCCCTGCCACCAGCCCGGCCACCAGCACAGCAGTCAGAAAAG